GCCTGTCTGTCTGTATGTATGTGTGCCTGTCTGTCTGTATGTATGTGTGCCTGTCTGTCTGTATGTATGCCTGTCTGTCTGTCTGTATGTATGTGTGCCTGTCTGTCTGTATGTATGTGTGCCTGTCTGTCTGTATGTATGTGTGCCTGTCTGTCTGTATGTATGTGTGCCTGTCTGTCTGTATGTATGTGTGCCTGTCTGTCTGTATGTATGTGTGCCTGTCTGTCTGTATGTATGTGTGCCTGTCTGTCTGTCTGTATGTATGTGTGCCTGTCTGTCTGTATGTATGTGTGCCTGTCTGTCTGTATGTATGTGTGTGTGCCTGTCTGTATGTATGTGTGCCTGTCTGTATGTATGTGTGCCTGTCTGTTTGTATGTATGTCTCTTTGTATGTGTGTATGTGTGTATGCATGTATGCCTGTCTGTCTGTTATATTGGGCTATAGTAAGTAATAGCAAGTGGGCTACCTAGCTCAGCATTCCTACTGGGCATTGCTATAAGGAAGGTTAGAAAAATAGAAAAAAGGAAAAAAAAAGTGGGGAGACCATTTTGTCTGAATATTACCGAAAGAGGAGATCTTTGTTTGTTCCTTACGAAAATCGAACCAGATATCAAATATTTAGTCTCGCAGCATCAACTTCAAGGATATCAATCACTAGTAAAGGTAATTTCAATTTACTTTATTGTTTTCTCATTAAACTTTATAAAGTTTTTTTTTTTTTTCTAAAAAAATATTCTGCACTTGCGCGAAAACTGGTGGGCGGTAAAGACATTTTTCCATCAAGAAAGATGCATTAGTGAGCGGTAGGTAGAAAAAGGTTGACTACCACTGCACTAGAGGCTGGATTAACCCATAGGCAGCAGAAAGGGTTAATCCTAGATGGACCAGGCACCAGACCATTAAGCTGAAGTGGTCTGGGTGCCTATAGTGGTCCTTTAATAAATATTTCCCATTCAATTCTATACATATACCATGTATGGATGCATATGGATAACTGAGAGGTTGCATGTAAACTTATAAATTACATTCTGTCAAATTGTGTATGAAAATATCTATCCTAATTTGACTAGCTCATGTGTAGACAATGGCTAGTTAAGAGACACATGCATATCAAATAAGCAAACAGTGAATAATGTTACTGCAACACAATTTAAAAAGCAAGCAGACATGATCTGGGGGTTTAGTGGTTGTTTGACTAAAAATAACCACTAACAAGTTGCATGACAGTGGTATTATGGTTGGTGCATGACCCAGTTCAAAAACAGCTCTAAATTCACCTAACACAGATCACACACTACAGAATTACTCCAAGTTCTGCTGCTATTAAACATAAAAGTTCACCTTGAATTTCAATGTCATCAAAACCGTTAGCTGACATAAGGGTGACTGACCTACATTGTAATCAAGTTGCATAGCAGGGGTTACCAATTATCATTCAAACTAGTGCAATCAAGAAGACAGCTGTAACTTTAAAGCATGTCATGTAAAGACAGACAAGGGGAAGAAAAAAAACAAAAACAGGATCTTTATAATTTATTTTAGGAAGCATCCAAAAACACTGTAGAACCACTTTATATAGTACAAGCATATCCTTGTTACTAGGCCTGCAGTATGTGTAGAATGTTCAAACTGCTTTCAAACAAATCAAATACTTCCTCCAGACTGCAAGTTTATTTCAGCTCAACTTGTTTGTCATTTATTTTATCCTCATGTGGAATGAGTGCAATATCAATAGTAATAGCAATTATAATCCAGCTGCCTCAGGAGTACGAAATAGCAGTGTATCTTTATTGATACATGATGGTCTAGACTCATCATCACCTAAAATGTGATCAGTCTGGGGACATGAGATAGCTTGGTCATCCACGGTTTATTATGTGTGAAAATAAGACACAGTAGAAGAAAGCAATATGACAGGACACCCTGCATGCTTTGGTTTCCTGCATAGTTAAAAAAATAAAATAAAAAAAATAATAATAAATAGCTAACACCCTGCATACAACTTTATTCATACATTAGGTGTGGGTGGGGAATTTGTGGATTGTATAGTGGATTTTTTTATTATTATTTAAAAAAAATTCAAAGAGAATTTAAAAAGGATGACTCTTTACAACTAGAGCAAAGCTAAATATTTTATTTCAGAGTAAAATTGTGTTTTATCTTACCTTGACTGAATTGCCAGATATATAGTTCGTCTGAACGCAACCAGGTTTACTTCCGTTTTATCATGAATAGTCATTTTTTCTCCTGACAATGAAGAGACAATCCAATTAAACAGATCAATCTTAGAGTTACATTCAATTATCATTTATGAACAAGTGGATCAGGGGAGGCAGACAGGTAACAATTTAGTTGATGGATTACAGCCAGCTTGTATCAAGCCAAATACTGTCTCGGTGTCATGGGAGTTTAAGATAAAAGAAAAATATATGTACCTGTTGACTGTTATCCATGAAGCATTTCCCCAAAAGTTGCTAGATCAATATTTATTTGCATATGTAGCACAAAGCAGACATTTTCAAAACTTATGATTTAGAAATTATTTTTTATTATGTCCACTCAAACATTTTGCAAATCAACTTTCGTGTGGTTCTGAAGGAAAACTAAATCTATTTATTAAATAGTATGAGATGCATAGCTCCACTTCTACATCAATTCTTGTTGTCGAAAGAATATTAATTATTAAACCAGACAATTCCTTTCTAAGACTTTGGTAAATGTTCAGTTTTACACTGTAGACTAGCTAATATTTGATTAGCTTTATCTATATGAAATAATGAATGTTTATAACAATTTGAAGGCACATACACAGCATCGTATGCATCTATGTTGTTATACAGGAAGTGAATAATTCATATCAGTTGGGGAAATATTAATGGCATTTTAATCGGCTTTCAAGAGAGCAGTAGGAATACCAGGAATCATAGCTGTTAAAGAGGTCATACACTAAGGGACAGAAAGAGATAAAAGAAGAGGTCTGAAGTGACGCTTTAAATCTGGTCAGATATTATACTAGAAGGACACAATGTATGTAGTCAATGCAATCAAGGAGCAAGTTAGTAATATCTTATGCATTTATTTTATATTTTTAGGTTTTGCACAAAATGTTTGGAAGAAGCAAGATAAGAGGGTACAGACCTGTTAAAGGGACAGTATAGTCACCAAAACAACTTTAGCCTATTGAAGCAGTTTTGCTGTATAGATAATTTCCCTGCAGTGTCACTGCTCAATTCTCTGCCATTTAATAGTTAAATCACTTTATTTATGCACCCTAGTCACATCTCCCTGCATGTGATTTGCACAGCCTTCCTAAACACTTCCTGTAAAGAGTAAGCTAATGTTTATACTTTCTTCATTGCAAATTCTATTTAATTTAAAATGTATTATCCTCTGCACTATTGACAGCTTGCTAGACCCCACAGAAGCATTCTGTGTATGATTAAAGTTCACTTTAGCGAGCAGACAGAAAGAACTTTTAAAGTAAGTTACACCTAAGTGAATGTGAAACCATTTTTTTTTTCTTTCATGCATGGTGTGAGTCACAGCCAGGGGAGGTGTGACTAGGGCTGCATAGATAAAAACAAAAGGGATTTAACTCCTAAATTGCAGAGATCTGAGCAGTGAGACTTCAGGATCATGATCTATACAGTAAAACTGCTTTCTTAAGCTAAAGTTGTTTTGGGGACTATAGTGTCCCTTTAAGCATTGTACGTACATAATCATGTAATATACACCGATTTCCTCCAGTGTATGGAGTAGATGGAGTATTTTTTTGGCAGATTTTGTATAGTTACAAGTAACTAAGAAAAGGGAGTCAAGGAGATGGGATCTCCCTGCAACATTTGCTATACAAGTATACATGTACTTGGAGTATTCCTTGAAAACAGGAGTGGGTGAATCTGGCAGGCAGTCTGTCCCTTCAATAAACAGCAATGATAAAACTGGCCATAAATGTACATGGAAAAAAATTCCAGACTGGCTTTGCACTGAGATCATCTTTATTCCATATTACATCAGCTCCTGGTATTAATTTATCCTCAAATAATCTCTGTGTCAACACTCATCACTCATGTATTCTATGTGCCATATTCTAGACTTCCATCAGTGTTTGTTATGTAGTTTGTAGCTCTTAGTGTTTGTATTATAGATACATGTACATATAGTGCAGTGTTATTTCATAAGATATATATGCATTCTAGCAGTTTAACTGCTTTAAGTACACTAACTGCTGTTCTACAAAACCACAGCCTTTCGCCTTAAAGTGAACACCAACAAAATGGGACCAAACAACCTCTATGTTGGACCTACATCGATATGTATTGAGCGACTCCTTAGCAGTATATACAATAAAACTTTAAACTTTCTTTTATTTTCTGCTTAAATCTTTCATCAAAATGCATACAGCTGTCTTTAGAAACCAAAGCACCAACCTTCGTCGCCACCATCTGCCTCATCCTCATCAGCATCATCACTGTCTTCGTCACTGCCCTCTCCTTCATCGTCTCCTTCTTCAGACTCGGTGTCCCCTTCATCAAGGATTTCTGAGAAGAAAAAAAAAAAGATAAAGTTAAATAAAATAGCAAAACCAAAATTCATTCAAAAATATTTCTTAAAAGTCATAAATGACTCTAATCCAATCTTTCTGGACCGAACTGAACTATAGCGGGGGCATGCCCATCTTAACGCTTACCCCTGAATTTTTGCTTTTAGGACCCTCAGCAGAGCTCACATTGCCTAATAAACGATTCCTCCTTATCGTAGCAGCAAAACCATCCTTCGGGTCTGGAACCAGCCGCACGCACCCACACTGGAGTTATTTCTAACCAAGCTAGCTTTCATATTTAAAATGGATTGGTTGGACACACTAACTAACAAAGAACTCCTAGCCAAAAGATTTCTCTTGACCTGGAGATCCGTGGACCTCCTCTGGTGTACCTTCTCCTGCTCTTATCTGTTGAAATGCAAACTATTGCATACCCAACATATGTTTCATTGTCCTGAGCACTTGCAGATCACAGTCCCTGACCCACGCAAGTGGTATCTTGGGAGAATTGGCGGTGGTTGAACATGCCGGACACCCACATCTAAATGATTATCATGTTCCTCTGATCTCCCACTGGTAACTGTTAAAAGTTCAACCTCTTACTTATTAACAATTACCTATTTGGTTTTGTAACTCGTTTATGTTGAGAAAACTACAAAATAGTGAATATAACTGATTGAATATCACTTTTCAACTGTCAAGACTGCTTTTAATGTCATTCGTGCAATATTCTTGTATCATGCATTCACAATTATTGTTTTTGAAAAAAGAAAAAAAATTAATAAATTAGATTAATGTCTACTGGCAAAAAGACTAGCCAACAGAACTAGAAGCCGTCATCATGAACTGGTATAGATCGATCAAGTAGAAATAGCTAAATACATAGTATTTAGAAAAAGGGCAAAGCACCCGGTGATGCCTTCCAAGCCCCTACTTGATATCAGCCAGGGCTTTGCGTGGTTCAATTACAGGCTTCTCATAGAGAAACCTGTGATTGGACAATTTCACTAGCTCAGAGTGCATGCATACAATCTGAACTGGCGAGGTGAGAGGGAGGCGGAGAAGAGTGAAGAAAATAAAAATAAATCATTATTGGGAAGTGGTGGGGGAGAAAAATGCTTTTATTTGCATTCACAGCTTGCAAGGGTGTACTGGAATGTCAAAGACACGTGTGCCAGGAATGCAATTAGCCCTCAGCATACAAGAGAAGATTATGCTATATGTGCAGCGTTCCCAGCAGAAACGCTGTACATACAGACACCTGATGACCATGACCACCTTAAATCAGGGCCCTCATGGTCATTGTAGTAACTCTTAAAAGTAGTAAACCTTAAATGATAGCAGAATGTACAGATGGAATTAGATTTTCTATCAGAATTGCTAGCAAATGCCTAGATTTGGCCAAAATCAGAGATTAAAAAGTGAAAAAAGCAAATGTGGTGCCTATATCTAAAAATGGTTTAAAAGCTCAACCCGGAAACTATAGACCTGTGAAAAGAACATTATTTGAAGGGGGCTTTAAAGTGTCACATGGCTCAAGAGGCAGAGCATCCCACCTCCAGGTGAGACCAAAACAGATTGTGATACAGTCTGTCATGCTGAGATATATGTCTGGCCAATCCAGGCATGCTTTTGCAGATGAAGAAAAGGAAGTGACGTTTATATATCTGGTTGGAACATATAGGCAGTTGCTCCTGCTTACATCAAGAAGAAGCTTGCTTGTCTGTTTCTGTGTTAAATCTACTGTCTGCTAAAATCGCACAGAATCGCAGGAGAGTTTTTAGTTAGAATATCTTGTAGTAACTGGAGAGATCAGGGCAGTATATTCTATATTGCTTGTGGATAAAGCAACTGCAAGCCCAGGTTACAGCACTGAGTATAGCGATACAGCTGTGCAAGTTAATTTAAGTCCTCATGTACAATATTAGGCCTGAACTGTTGCGCATTCGTTAACAGAGACGACAGAGCCGCACAGTCACACTCATTATGGACAAAAATATCATTTGCAGGAGTTAAATCATTTTAAGTTGTACTGTGCATTACAGCACCTTAGACCTCTCTATTTGCACTAGATCATTTACTAGATTTAGCCATCAAGGATATACTCATTTAACAATAAAAGAAGACTTTTTAGATCCCTCCTTCCAATCACTTGCCATAATTAAAGCTCTATTTAATCTTTACCTAATTAGGGAATTGGTTTGCAACATAAATAACGTTATTGCTATTTGCTGTACCTTTTTTAATGGTCTTGTATTTCTCTTCATTTTCAAGAAAATTGGGATCCATCTTGAAGACATCTGGAAGAGAAGATAAAGCAGTTAATTAAAACCGTAAGAAAAATAGCTACGCAGAATAATAATGGTTACTAATAATTGTAATGAAATGAAAATGTTAATGAAATTAAAGACAAACCAGGTCAGATTTGCCAGTAAGAAAAAGTAGGCACCTGAATACAGATGCACATGTTTATGTATTTCCACTATAAAATGTGGATTTTTTTTTCCCCCCCAATTTATTTTTTCATAAATGCTGTCGAGGACTATTGCTATCCTTATTAATAAAAAGAATATATTCGGCATTAAAGAAGAGGGTGATAACACTCCAATGTTGTTTCATAATATCTCTGGCTCACTGAGAGCTCTTGGAATTGATACCTTAAGGCATCATCTGTCACTCTCTAGACAACCATTATAAGAGAGGTCCTCCTTTTTAGGCAGTGAAGCTTTATCCCCTAGCTTAACACATCCCTGGCTTAACCCATTCCTTGCTGGGGAATAAGTGTACCCTCCTCCCTGCCACCACCAGTAATCTCCATCTGCCTAAACCATCTTTTTAAACAATGAAATCTCAATGAAAACTAAGAAAAGACAGTCTTATAAGCTCAAGCTGATTACACATTTTTACACGAGCGAACCTTTAAAAATACACAGTTTAATGAAGCGTTTTGTTCCATCACTTTCAGGGAACTTGGGTCTTGACATTAACTTTTCTCAGTTGGTCTTTTAAGATATGATGGCACATCCTATTTAACAGTATGATCAATACAATCCAGCAACAAACAAAATAAGTTGATATTGTTACAGCCGCACAGAAGCTATTTCTCCCTATTAGAGAATGTATAACCAGATGTCACATGTGCCATGTAATCATCATATACATACGATACGAGACTGAAAGCAAAAAGGGATATTATTTATACAAAGTGCACCAGTAAGGAAATCACAGTACAAGTGCAGTAATAATTTCACGTGATATGCAATATTATAAAATGTTTTATAACTAATGAAGGGCAATTTCATGAAAAAACAAACAAAAAACACACACACACACACAGCTGTAAAGGAACAGCAAATCTATGTACAGTCACCAAAAGAATGGACTATTCAAGAAACTGGGAACTATACCAAAAAGACAGGGAAATGTATTTCAGAATAGCTAAACGAGGGAATCAATTACCGGTACTTGTATTTATGTCAGATGTTTAAAAAAAACAAAAAAAAAACGTTGTTGGCTTTAAATTTTGGTTGAAGTGTATTGTGCTGTATTTTGCATTGTGTATCTACTGGACACCAGCAACATGTTTAAGTGAGTGCAGCCTATGTAATTCAGTGTAAGAATTACAGAGTGTATATAAGCCCCTACCCCCTCCAAATCCCACTTGTCTGGACTGGACTGGAATGTCCTCCCAGCATCGTTCATGACATGAAAAAAGTTAAGCGTTTTAGAGCAGAATAACCACTGAAGTACAGTAAAAGAAGCTTTGCTTTTTTTATTTTTTTTTTATTTTTGGGAGCTAGAATATAATGCTATCAAATGTTTCATTCCCAGATTGACTGCATAAAAGTTTCATAACCTGGAAAGCAGAGAAGACTAAATGTACTATGGTGCAGCAGCATTTTGAAAAAATATTAATAGCGAGTTTCCACAATAAAGCTCAAAGATTTTTAATTGAAACAGCATTGAAAGAACAGAGAATTAATTAAGGCAAATTAAACATTTACAAGGCGCAGCAAATGCATGGGTACTAAAATTTAGGGAACTCAGATATTCACCAGGTATACATGCATTTGAAATATAAGAAACAATTGCTGCTGGCATATTTTCTTACACTAGAAAAACACACCGTACACAGCTGATCTATGATATCCAAGATTAAATTAGAACTACTTACTTAGTACATCCTCTGGATTATAGTCATCTTCTAAAGGAAGCATATGGGTGAATTGGTCTTCTTCCTCTACAAGATCCAGCCCATCTAAAATGACTGGGTGATCTTTGAAACCATCCTTTCGAACAGCAAACATCACTTCAATCATGTACTGAACACGTTTATCTATTTCGGATTCATGTAGGACGTTACGAAGACGCTCAAAAATAGCTGTGGGAAAGAGATTTGTAAGAATATATTCACAACATTTGAAATGGCAAGAAAGGGATAAAAGGGCAATTTGGGTTCTAGGTTTATAGAATTGCCTGCCAAGTGTCAGAAAATACTCAAGGCAGAGAGTAAAAGGGTTGTAAGCCAATTTTCCCATGTTTTGTATAGGGTTCTGCATAAAACATTTATAGTATATCGTTCTCATGTTTCTGTTTGAGCCATGGTTTGCAAGAATTAAAGGGACCTTATAGTCACCAGAACAACTACAGCTCAATGTAGTTGTTCTGGTGTCTATAGTCTGTCCCTGCATTCATTTTTATGTAAACACTGGCTTTTCTTTACATTACTGCCCAGAGACACCTCTAGAGGCTGCCATAGTCAATTTTGATGAGTCTAGCCAGAGAGGCAGAGTGGGGGCAGGGCCAGCGGAACCATATGGCCCTATTGGAGTATTTGAACGGGGGGGGGGCACACACACCTAAATAGCTAAACATTTGTATTCCTGACACTAGTGTGTTCCTTTAACTGGGCTTAGTTAGCAAGCCCAATACTTGCCATCTTGAGCCAGTTAAAGGAACACTATAGTGGTAAAGGAAATAAGGCATTATTACCAATTAAAATAAGATTTAGCATTTTTCCAAAGTGGCACAATATCCATTTCCATACAGCATAGAAAAATGCAAGAAAAGTTAAGGTGCCAAGATAAGTAAAAGGGGTTGCGGGTTTCCACTTACTTATTTGGCAGAGATAGAAAAATAAGTTTACTATAGATCACAGTCAGCACAATACATAATAACAATAAGAAAGTGGAAAGGAGGAGCAGACCAATTGATTTGTTTTACTGCAGTGTCTCCCTGCAATAAAATTCCTGCTCTGAAACTTACTGAAAGAAGATTTAGCACAGATCTCCCAGACAAGGAAGAAGTTCCACCATTCAGCAGCCTCACATTCTGACCTATGAATCTGACCTTATCCCACAAGTCCTTACTCAGAAGTGGTTAATGAAACATTTAGTTCTGCCCCTCAGTAGTAGTACTACTTATTACTCAGGATGAGTGAAACTGCTGAATTAGCAGACAGCACCCGTACCATAACAGTTTCTTAACTACTGACTATCCGGTCAGTTTTGTGAATAGAACGAAATACACTGTAGACTTGTACAACAGTTCTTGCTCCCACAGAGAACTGAAAGGAAAAGTGAGCATTTTTTCAGTTCTTGAACTGTGTACACCTACAAAAACATAATTGTACTGCTAAAGTAGGAAGTGTATTATATTGAGTCCCCTTGGACCGTAACATATGTACTGAGTAAGCAATATATGGTACCTGAGGTGTTTCTTTAAATCCAGCCACTTAAAAGGACCACTATAGGCACCCAGACCACTTCAGCTTAATGAGGTGGTCTGGGTGCCTGGTCCATCTAGGGTTAACCCCTTTTTTCTATAAACATAGCAGTTTCAGAGAAACTGCTATGTTTATGTTAGGGTTAATCCAGCCTCCGGTGGCTGTCTCATTGACAGCTGCTAGAGGGCTTCCGCGTTTCTCACTGTGAAAATCACAGTGAGAAGACACCAGGGTCCATAGGAAAGCATTGTGAATGCTTTCCTATGGACTGGCTGAGTGCGCGCGCGGCTCCTGCCGCGCATGCACATTCCGCCGAAGAGGCAGAGAGGAGTCGGAGAGCTCCCCGCCCGGCGTTGGAGAAAGAGGTAAGTTTACCCCCTTCCTCTCCATCCAGCCCGGCGGGAGGGGGAACTGGAGGGTGGGGGGCACCCTCAGGGCACTATAGTGGTCCTTTAATACAACTTACCCAGTGTCAAAGAAATTTAATTTGAAACATTATAAAAGCATTAAAACAAATGAATAAAATAGAAGTTGATTAATTAAATCACTAATATGCAATAGACACATACCGTTTATACCTCTGGGTGAAACCTGGGTTAGCTTTAGTCCACTTTCTTTTAAAAAACCAATAGAAACCTCAACGCTGTCATCGGTTGGCCTTTCAAGGAGCAAGGTTAGGATTTCTAGAGCTAGAACCTCATGAGCCTGATAATATATAAAATAAAATATAAAATTGATATAGATTGATTCTATGCCATTCTTGTTAACTCTTTCCTCGCATGCGATTTTGGACAGACTAAGGCGGACAATTTACAATTAACTACAAAACGAACAATACTATCCTTAAGAGTAAATTTGTCTTACAATCCTAACCAGTATACTAATCCAATCCCGGGCAGTCTCAGACCACCTCCCCTTACCATACTGGACTCTAGCAAGTATATTTCATCTATCTACTGCCCTCTCTGTAAGCAAGAGTCATGCAAACAGACTGCTTACTTATTCTCCCTTTCCTCTTCCAAAGGTTAGAATAAAAAGGCAGGAAGAGTTGGGCTTATGGAGCAAAAACAGATGTTTGAAAAAAAATGTATTCCATAGAATAAAAAAAAATAAAAAAAACACAAAACAAAACTGATGTTAAAGGGACATTATAGTCACCTAAACAACTTTGGCTAAATGAAACAGTTTTGGTGTATAGATCATGCCCCTGCAGTCTCACTGTTAAATTATCTGCCATTTAGTAGTTAAATCACTTTGTTTATGGACCCTAGTCACACCTCCCGGCATGTGACTTGCACAGCCTGCATAAACACTTCCTGTTAAGAGTCATCTAATGTTTATCATTCCTTTATTGCAAGTTCTATTTAATTTAGATTTCCTTATCCCCTGCTTGCTAGACCCTGCAAGAGCCTCTTGTATGTGATTAAAGTTCAATTTACAGAGCAAGAGATAAAATTGTTTAAGGTAAATTACATCTGATTGAAAGTGAAACCAGTTTTTTTTCATATAGGCTGCGTCAATCAGAGCCAGGGGAGGTGAGGCAATGGCTGCATAAACAGAAACAAAGTGATTTAACTCCTAAATGGCAGTGAAATCGGAGAGGCATGATCTATACACTGAAACTGCTTCATTAAGCTAAAGCTGTTTAGGTGACTACAGTGTCCCTTTAACCGAACCTTCACTCTGTATCAAACATGTGTGGGTGCTTGGTGTGCCCCTTTAAGAAGTGTCTTGTGAAATGTGATAGAATACCAAGTAGTGTCACAACACCACTAACTGCAGGGAGCTAAGCTTTCAAGACCAGATGCCAAACTATTATTTGGGTGTGATGCTGCCAAAAAGTGACTGCTAACACAACATTACTGGAGGTCGCTACATGCAAATTAAAAGCTACAGAGAAGAATAATTTATACGCATGTGGTACATTTTGGCTAAGTGTCACAGGAAATGTACTACACTATATGTGGTGTGCCAAAATGTTTGCCATCAGTGCTCTACATTCACACTGTAAAATAGTGTGCACGTTGGTTTGGGAATTATAATTTGAGAATACATGCCAGACTTCTCTATGCAGCTGCAGAATGCTTTATATATAATACAAAAACATACTTCCAACACTCAGACTGCTCATGCACATCATTAGACTGTTTTATTATTCATTTTTATCATGCCCGTTTTCTTTTGTGTATTATGTGGCCTGAAAAATACTGCAGACACTTTTACTGGGTCAGTGGATTACAATCAAGAAAATCATAGAGACTTCTGGCAAACTGAAAGGACTGGCAAAAATGTTGAATTCCATCTTTTAAAACAATCCTGCAAATCATATGTATTTAAATTCTAATTTATACCACATATTAGATTTTTGTCATGTTCAGCAATTTCATACGGAGTACAAAGGCTTAATATACATTGTGCAATTTATCAGTGACAATAACAGCAGATACTAGTGGTAAGATGGAGTAAAGACTGTGGGATAAAATAGAATATCATGTATTTTCAACAGCATTGTCAATTGTAATGTACACTTCCATTTAACAGACTTACATGTTTTTTTCTTGAAATGTGCAAAGTTTATTTTTTTAAAGGGAAAAATAATGTGCGCTACTGTACATTTTACTTCTTTTGGGAAACCTTCCATTTGCACATTTTACAGCTCTCAAAACATTACTTTTGTCCGCAATACCCTTGCCTTCAGAACAGTGGTCAAGTAAATAACCACTGTAGCAATAATATTTTCATTTTTCTTCACAGAAAAATCTGTCAAAAAAGGAAATTGGAATACAACTATATGCATTTTTCCAAAATAACTTCTTTTTAACGTGTACACATGGTAAATAAAACAGTAGTTCCCTGTCCAGTGATTACTCCAAATGCCCATAAGGAGATCTTCACAGTTAATCTGAGAACATGTTTATGCATATTAAGCATAATCTTCCAGAAACCATAAGAAAATACAAAAAGCTAAAAATAATTAAAAAAAAAAAAATTAAAAAATTATTTAAGTAAAACATTTATGACTAAATGTTGAGTTACTAATATTTAAAACATTCCAAGAAAGTAAAAATGATCTCCTGTCCAAAAAAAAAAAAAGAAAACACGCCATAATTTCAAAGCAGATTTGCCAACTAGTTTCGTGACACATATTTAGACAATCTGTCCACTAAAAGGTCACACAGAAAATATCGCTGCTCACAGCTTCTAGGAAAAAAGTAAAGGCAATATTGACTCCATACTAGTTAGTTGTAAATTTGGCAGAGAGTTCCCACAGTCAATTGCACACTCTATCCATTACATATATTACACCAGAATAGAGCACAGGATCATGACTCCACAGCTTTAACTGGAATATAGTACCCCAAACACAAGCAGCGTTATTTACTAAAGTGAGAATTCAAAGTACTGAACTGAAAGCATCGACAACTTAGAGACAGTTTCCAGTCTTGTTATTTTGAACTTTAGTATTATATTCACTTTGAATTCTCACTTGAGAATGAATAACTGTGGAAGGTGCAAGTCTACTATAATTACTGAAGTGAAGATTTTTCTGCATTTTTAAAAAAAAGTAACAGTTAAATAAAGAAAATATGACGCTATTATGTGAAGCCTATTTTCCCCTTATGGTGCAAATTTGGGTGAGAAATAAATGCATCACCTATCCATTTAAAAGAGGGGGTAAAACCAACATAATAAGTCAATGGAAATTGATGAACCATCCCGTTGGGATGCTTACCATGCAACTCCGGTCAGTTAATGGTTAATGTTCATAATGTGCAAATGTGAGGTGTTTATGGATGGAGTTTGGGGTTATGGTGGGCTGGAGGGTCATGCTTCCACATGGCCAAAGGAAGCTGATAGTCATGGTTGCCCGACTGCCCACGAACATGAGTGAAGGGAGAGGTGAACGGGGAAATGTGGATGAGCTGGTTGGAATGGGGGGAGGGGAGGAGGCAGAAGGGGGACCTAACTAGTCACGATAAGCTCATGATTCTGGAATACAAGTTGGGAGGGGCGGGCAAAAAAAAAAAAAATACTTTTAAAAAAAAGGGGGGGGGAGGGGGGTGATTTCAGATGTTTAACCGCAGTTAACCCTCCACAAGCAGAATAGAGTCGCCATCTAGGGGCAGCCCCGCCCATTCCCAACCTACCACAATTACTCCAGCTTGATACGCTACCTGAGGTTTACTAGGCTGTAAGGCGCATGGGCCTTCCACAAGGTGAATGATATTACTGAGTGGCAAGGGGGGGTCGCCACCAGCGAGAGGCTTGAACTCATGTGGAGAGAGCTTGGCCTGAAGGAGGGGCTGGGGAGGGGTGAGACCGTCCCGGAGACCTGGGTGATTGGTGGGAGGGGGCGTGGAGGGAAAAAATTGATTTTTGTTACATTTATATTCTTCTTGCTGGTATGTCACTTATACATATCTCTAGTTCATTTGTGGCGCTTTTTTAACGCTGGATATAAGCACCGAAGAGGTATGATGTGGGACGGAGCCTGGGTTGCGTTCCTTAACCCACACTAGTGTGAGATTTATTACAGCGGAGTTCAAGGAAATACCGGCTCCTGGTCTAGTTATCGGGGCCATTGGCGCACCTTCACATTAGGTCTCCCCCGCCGGCTTGGGGGAGGAGCGTGGGCAAAGCATGATTCACGTTGGATTCACGTAAGTCACTGAAGAGGTTTTAACCCCTTCCGCAACATGGGATGGGGGTGGGATTGAGAGGGGCACTGCAGAGTCCTGCAGTGCCAGGAAAACATTTTTCCTGACACTGGAGAGTCCCTTTAAGCTTTTGAAGAATTACATCTGATTGAACCAGGAGGTTCCGCAATTTAACTTGCAATGTTCTTATTCCTATGTCTATTGTAACCGATAATATAATAGCTGAGCTGACTAGCATTGGAATGTTTACCAAAGAATTTGTAAGCACATATTGACCAAACTAAATAATGAGAGGCCTGCTTACTCTCCTGCCTATGTACTCATTTATGTTTTATTCTTCTGCAAAACTATTCTACAAATAAAGATTCTCAAAAAAAAAAAAAAAGTCAATGGAAATGTCAACTCACCACATTCTGATTAATAAGATGAGCAATAAACTTTGAAGCAGTCAAGCAAAGTTGCTGAAAAAAAAAAAAAAAAAAGTAAGAAAGGAATATTTCAACCATTAACAGTGCAAACAAACCATATGCTGCAAAATCTTATTAAAAGGAACCCAGTCTACAAAGGCATGAATAACAAAGTCCCAGACAAGCCAAATCAAGGCATTTTAAAGTATACATTAAAAATACTTCCCTCCACAAAAAAGCCATTCCAGTTTCTGCTCCTGTTGCCCTGCCTGCTTTCAATCTTTCCACCTCCTGTTTTGTCTCCAGCACAGGGCTTCCCACTGGCTGTTTTAGAATGTTATTTGTAAGTAAGTTCTCCCTATATTAAAAGCTATATTACTAAAGGTGTTCTCTATCTCTTGTTCAAATGTGCAAAGCACTAATTTTCCCACGAAAAAATAGCTCTTATTTCACCTGCATTGGTTAGTTTGAAGCATTAGTTTTTAGGTGCATTAGTGTGGGATTGGGTTACAGCTGTATCTTACGCCTTTCTTGCAGGGATTGGATTACTATGCTTTTAAACTTAGAGCATCTTAATAAATGCAATATGTAGGGACAGATAATTTGATGGGATAATAATAGCTGCTTTTTAGTGATCTATACAATGAAGTGTCCCAAAGAGCCCAACAGGCTGGTTGTATCTGAAAGTCCAGTAATCTGCCCAGTCAACTCTCTTGATCCAAAATTGTATCCTTGGTCTCCCCGTGGCTAATCACTTGTTATGCTCTTCCCAGCACCCTGATGCAATTCTCTTATCCATTCAAAACCTGTCCATAACTAGTTACATTAACTTTTAAATTTTACATACATCTCATTTATAAAAGCACATAGTAGGTACCTTGTCATTTCTTCTGTATCCTTTGCGGAAGTTTAAAATTAGTCTTTTTAGAATTAGTTCACCAATCTGCGGAAATTTTGAGTTGATAATCGATACAACTGCAGCATACACATGGGTAAAGATTGGAGATGCGCTCTGCGCTTGGAGAATAGATCTGGAGAGCTGACCCCTGCAAGAAACAAAGACAATGATGTGTATAGGTAATATGTGACAAAAAACAAAACACTGTTTTGTAATAAATATTTTTAACCCCTTAATGACACATGATGGAAATATTCCATCATGATTCCCTTTTATTCCAAAAGTTGTGTCCTTAAGGGGTTAAGATACACTATTTTTGAAAAGAAGCAGAAAAAAACGTATTACAAAAGAACATGCTAACCTGTGAATGGCAAGGCCTCCTTCAGATAATTTATAATAATAGATTTATAGACACTAGGTTGTTTTCTTTCTGTGATAAGTAACCCTTGATAACTCACCTTCCACGAACAATGTTTTCTTGAAGCAGCTCTTGAATAATATTACCAATATTAGACACGTTCACTTTATTGATAAGACCATTAATTGACTTCTTTAAAGCTTCCCAGCTCATTCGTTGGTATGCCAAGCTGCAAGACAGACAAATTGTACAGTCAAAAAAAATTATATAAACAAAACAAAAACTCCCCCTACAAACAAAATGAAAACACTAAATTTAAAACTATCTGCTGCAAACAATGCCACTGAAAATGACATTTCATGGTAAAATAATTAGATTTTTATTTAAATATAGTATATTTTGCACTACTTCTCAAATAAACTTACTTTTAGGAATTAAACTATACAAGCGGCAGCATGGTTCACAGTATGTAGATATAGATTTTAATTTATATATTGTTAGACACATAAAACCAGTGATAGACATGAAGATAAAAGAATGTACTGCAGCATGTTATTTTAAATAGAAATAAATGTAATTCCTTAAGTAAGAATATCACATGTCAACATATATCTGTATCAGAAACAACATGAAGTAGGACTTGTGCAAATGTGTATATATAAAAAGTAGAAAAAAGAAAAGAAAAAATATTTAACTAATTTAATATTTCATTAACAATTCTTGTTTTCCTTCTATTAAAACACAGAACATAAATACTTTGGCACTACAACTCCTGCATTTAGAAACATAAGCTGGATCATCTGATAGCTAAGCACCAATGGAAATGTGAAAAAAAAAAAAAAAAAACACACCTGTCAAGGTTAGCCATCATTGCACAATTTGTTTACCTGCTCTTATCAGTAATCTGTTCTTGCATCATCCTCAGTTTTGCAGGAGGGATGTAAGCACCACCTGTCCTTGTAAGGATTGGATCCAGTTCTTCCTTTTTCTTCTTGACTGGAGGTTCTGCTGATGTCTGTTCTTCTGACCTCTCCTCACTTTTCCTCGATGGGGGAGATCTTCTGTTTCTCCTTCGGTCGTAATCATAATCTTGATCCCTTCTTGACATATGACGATCTTTTTCCCTTAAATAGTACATACCAAAAATGAAATATTATAAAAAAATAAAAAGACTAAGAATAGCATCTGTAATGTCAGATGTCACAACAAAACATTTAGAAAAAATCATGCAGTTGTGAGACTTGCCCATATTTTCTGGAGTGTTTCTACATATTATTAGTAATATAGTCTAGCTGTCAGATACTTGATAGAATTCCAAGGAGTGCACAAGAAAAGCAGCATTTTTAATTAAACTGGCAAAATAGTATTTTAAATGATTCACTGTATAGTCTCTTTCCACTTAGTACAGTCTTTTACAGTGGAACTGCCACTTACCAGGATTTCTAATATTGTGTTTACTTATCCTTAGTGACACTGTCAATATTCATGTCTTTATGTGCTTGCCTTTAGGCTTGATCAACATTTATTAAACTTTGGGGATGTGTTTAAAAACATGATTAAATGTTTATGTTGGAGCTATGTTCAATGCTGAAACAGTCAAGGGCAAATCACTTTACTAGATAGATATATTTTGAGGAAGAAAAATATCACAAATATACAGTTCCTAAAGAATGTAATTGGAATGACACCGACTTACAAATCAAAGAAAAGGATTTTCTAGAAAAAAAAAAAAAATCAAAGTGCAGCCATTTTCAAAATAGCATTCTCAGCAGAAGCCTAGACCAAAACTGTGTAAAATTCATTAAAGGAAGCAGTGAAGAAGGAAAATGCATACAAAAACATCTACATTGTGCAATCCAAGCAAAAAAACAAAAAACATTTCTACTGAAAAACAATTTAATGAAAAAGTGTCTGTTACCCCCAAAACATTTTAAGCATTTCCTAAAGATAAAATATTTAGGAAATGCTCATCAAGACCGTGTAGGTAATATCTATTGAGGGATTCTACAAAGAAATAAGTGTTGTATTTTTGTGCATGCGTGAGAGTACACCACTGGTGTGGGCACCAGACGCTGAAGACCAAACATGACAGCATGAGGTAAGTACAGCTCCCCGCAACCATTGCAGCAATGTCACCAAAGAGGGTCTTTGCAAAATATGCAATAATACAGTAAATTGCAAAAAATAAAGATTAATATAATATCAAAACGATAATCAAGAATAGGGAAAATGTATTTTCACAATATTCAATCAACTTGGTTAATGTGAAATTGCTATTAAAGATGACCTTATTATACACTACACTACTATATTTTAACTACTACCAGTCTCTTCCAAAAACAACTGAAATGTCAAATTTTAACATAGTGGCAGTCAGCAGTTGAATGGAGGCTGCTGGAGAAGAGAAACAGCAACTATATACAATAAATAAAAATAAAAAAAACAGGCAGAGGCAGAATGATAGATGTAACAGGCAGTGTTATTTACTAAATTGAGAATTCAAAGTGAATTCAAGGCAAACCTCAAATTTAAAGGAAAACTATGGGCATAAAAACAACTTTCGCTTAACCCCTTAAGAACAGAGGCAATTGTACAATCTCTGAACCAAAACAAAACCTGGAATTTGATCTATATGTCTGTTCAACCATAGTTAACCTCTTTCATATTAAGTGCACCCACACTTATAAATCAATCAGTTTCTTCAGGAGAAATTAGGCTTTCATTTCACATCAAATATTTATATATGAAACATAATTTGTGAGAAAATTCCCAAGAACTGCATGACATTTTAATTGTGAATGTCATAATACTGTCAGCTTTCACTGCAATAAAATACACATATTTGTGTTCAGTGATGTCTCACAAGTACCACCAATGTACAGGTTTAATGGGGTTTTTGGAAAGTTACAGGGTCAAATATAGGGCTTTTCCTGTTTCAGTTTATACACATTTAAATTTGCCAGATTGGTTTGCTGGGCCCTGTATGTGACTTGCACAGCCTTCTTTTTTTATTTATTTTTTTCTGTGCAAGAAAGTTACAGGCAAATATGAGGTGCCACAACAGCACGAAAAGAGTAAGCAACAAGCATTCAATTTGGCACTTGAAATCTGCACATTTTTATATTTGTTTTGAAACAAGCTAGACATAGTTTTAGACATATAGTCAGGAGATGAAGCGATAAGCATATATCAGCAAGCAGTGATAAAACAACATGTTGAGCTCTAAATGTTCTAGCTGCTAGAGTGAGTCGCCTAGGTGAGTATCCGGTATGTGTATGCATGTTAAGGTGTGGTAGGTAATTGGTAATGTAAACAGAAGTATAGTGCGATCGCACACATCTTTATGTAAGTAGCTGGGTTGCAAGCTATTCATGTACGACCGATGTTTTATTACTCCAGATTCTACTTTCAGTGTGGATTGGCTAGACATCTGAGTGGTAAGTAAAAACAGGGTTAACAGCATGCTTTAAGAATACGAGTTGAGTCTAAGTAATGAGACATAAGGTCACACTGTCTGCGCTTACTGAGTAAAGTGACCGCTGTAATACGGTTTTAGTCCTTACGGCTGGGTAAAGTGTTTAAGGTAAGATGGTGTCCATCAAGATCATGGCAGATTCGGAGTTAGGTAAATTCGGAGTTAGGTAACACAGTCCGCTGTCGTCGGATAGTCTCTGACTCAGCCAATCCCCTGATTCGTGAAGCTCTTAGGGCATGTGAAGAGGTAGGCGGCTTCTCTGTTCTCCTCTGTGGCGGGGCCATGCGCTTGATGGGTGGCCCGTTGATGGGAGTTGCCGCTCGGGTCTCTCCGGTGGACCTCCGCTTGGTCTGAGTGGTCAGAGGTAAGTCTGTAGTATAGCTTCCTTTGCTGGTTATAACCGGCTACTCTCCGCCGCTTCCTATTTGTTCGCTGCTTTGTGAAGTGTCGCCTGGGTGATTTATGTGCCGCGTATGCCAGGTTCTTGGGGTTAGTTGGCTTGTGAGGAGTCTTCCGGCTGGAAGGACGTCGGAGTGTGTGCGCCCCAGCGTGGGTCCCCCCGCCTGGAGTGGGTCGGTCGGACCGCCGCTGGTACTCTCTCCTGCTGCATGTGAGAGACTTGAGATGGAGGCCTTTGCTGTAGGCTTCACCAGAATGCTTGGCAAATTTTATTGAACCTGGCCTCAAAACACCGTCTCCATTGCTGGAGCCCCGGATCCTCCGTGGTTTGCTCCGCGTGTTGCATGGCGGCCTCGCGTGGCTTACCGTCGGACAGTGATTTTCCCCTTGTCAGGCAAGACCGGGATATCCCCCACCGGTCCATAGAGAGCTGCCATGTGGTGCTGGCCCTGTGTAGGGAGGTCGGCCGCCTCCCCCGGCAATCAGGTTGCTTGTCATGCTAGGCCTCAGCTGCGATTCCCGGCGAGACGGCTGCAATAGCTTCGTGTGTGGTATCAGAAGATTCGGCTTCACTTCGCCTTTCTGCCGGTAGCTCGTTTTGTATAGTTTCTAGTCTGTAAATTGTCTCAGTCGGTTTGAGTGTCGTGCAGAGTGGGAGTTGTGCCTGCATGCATCCGCTCAGCTCCGTGCTCAGACCCCGCCCGTGCACAGCCTTCTTAAACACTGAACCTACATATTTTAAGTTCATTTATTGCACAGTCTATTTAATTTAGAATTTCAGATCTTCTTTACTGTTAATAGCTTGCTAGACTCTGCAGGAGCTCCTGTGTGATTGAAGCTTAATTTACAGATCAAAAGATACAGACTTCTAAAGTGAGTTAACATCTGATTAAAAATGAAAAAAAAATTCATGCAAGCTGTATCAGTCACAGCCAAGGGACGTGTGACTAGGGCTGCATAAACAAAAACAAAAGTGATTTAACTCATAAATGGCAGAGCATTAAACAGTGATAATGCACGGGCATGATGTATACACTGAAACTGCTTCATTAAGCTAAAGTTGTTTCGGTAACTATAGTGTCCTTTTAAGCTAAAGGACTGACACAGTTAAACTACATTTTAGCCATGCTTAATATGAGAGGATGTTCAGCTTACACAGACACAACATGCTGCATTACTCCAATGTGTCATCTAAGGACATGAAATTTACTTTTATGCACATTAAATACCAAATTTGATACAGCAAATAATTTACCTGTAATCCTCTGATCTCTCGTATCTCCCATTTCGTGATCGATCGTCATCATATCGATCCCGATCAGAGTAGCCCCTACCACGGTAGCCTCTGTCCCTGGGGGATAATGACCTATCCCTGTTTTGGTATCTAGGATAAAATGAAAAACAAAAAAACTAATTTGTAAAAAAAATTTTCTGCAGTAAACCTATACAACAACAGAATTGCAATTAAAATGGTAAATATTACAAAAAGCTCATATAACAGGGATAAAGGAGGAAAAATATGAAAATTTAAAATTCTCATGCGAAAGACAGCTTTTGTCTTTGCCGAGGAACACCATTCCTACTTATAGGATGAAACCACTATAAAAAGGTGACTGTACATTTTTTTTGTCATATAGTCTTCTACGGTAGTTGAGTGACTAGTAAGTTAGTACTGATGCAGTCAATAAGACAGTGAAGAACAATCCCTCACTCAGGGCTAGATCAAGTACCAGATCAACTCAACAGGTTGGCATAGAGACTAGTGATGTCCCGAACGGTTCTCCGAACGGTTCACCGCGGACTCATCATTGAGTAAACTTTGACCCTGTACCTCACAGTCAGCAGACACATTCCAGCCAATTAGCAGCAGACCCTCCCACCTCCTGGACAGCTCACTAAGAATGCAGCTTCAAAATGGATGCTGTCCAGGAGGTGGGAGGTACAGGGTCAAAGTTTACTCAATGAGGAATCTGCGGCGAACCGTTTACGGCGAACCGTTCGGGACATCACTAATAGAAACGATTATACAAAATATGCATTTGCCATCTGAACCTTTTGTTTTTATACAAAATATACATTCCACTCAAGCACAAAAAAAAAGAAACAAAGATTCTTGGAGAAGCAATCATATGGGCCAATGTTCCTAATTTATACCCCCTCTACCCCAGATTACATACCAATAGTTTAATAACACGTGTTACCAAAGCACATAAATATTTAGCAGTGTATGGAAATGGTAGCTAACATTTTCAGTAAAGAAAATTAATTTGCAGTAAGACAGATTTACTTTTTTTTTTTTCTTTTTAACAGTACAAAAAAAAAAATTCTTCTGCAGGAAATATAACAAAATGTATCCCATAAACCTATACAATTAGGCAGGACATGCAAGCATGCACAAATGTAATTCTTTGAGAAGAGAAAAAACAAAACAAAAAACTAAATCAGTCATAGCATGTGGGTTTAGGCTGCTGCTGTTCCCAAAACGTTAAAAACAATTGAAGATCAGGGATTTGCTGAGAGAGCAAGAGATTTCAGCCAGATGCTAATTTCAGCAGGCATCACTGAAAAAGGACCAATTCAATTAAACATTCTGCAAGGGATGGGGGCAAAATGAAAGAGAGGACAGGGCAAGTATTTTTCTTTTTTAAATGACAAAAAACTGGTGAAGCTTCCCTTTGATGTATATTTGAACAGTTAGGGGTAGCATCAGGAAGAACACAGTATTATGTTCTTAACAACTTGTAAACATTTCTGCCATGTGAGAATTATGAAACGTTTTTCAGTCTTTCAAATGCCAATCAGCAGTACTCCAAGAAGCAGAAAAATCAAAGCTGGCTTAAAAGGAACTAATTGACCCACGGCGATTATACTGTTCAAAACTGTTGAATTTTAACAAGCCATAAAATCTTACAGGGGAACTGGCATTTGCTACCAATGCCACAATGCAATAATGTCTAAGAGACAGGAATGATGACTAAAAATATTTCACACATTTACTATCAAGCATTACAAAATTTGCTATATTTGCAGTTTTATAAATAAAATTAATGCAATATTCTTTTGAAGCCAAATAAAAGGTTTGAGTGCTTATTTGCAATGGACAGTTTACTTTTAAAATAGTAACTTAAAAATAAATAAATAAAAAAGTATTCACTGAAAATAAACATAACCAAAAAATATGTAATAATTCCTACCTCTCTTCTGGCGAGGAACTCCTCCGACGGGAACTATGATCATCTCGCCTGTCATAGCTGGAAGATCTCTGCAAATTGCAAAACAAATCATGTATTATTGTACTGTGAGAAGTCTTAAAATCTATGTAAAGAATTCTAGGATCCTGTGTCTTGAAACCACTGAACAAATTGAATTTTTCATACAGCTACTTTAGCATAAGACATGCTCTAAAAGCTTACAATGTAGCACAATGTGCAAGACATCATTATAACAAAACCAATATAAAGTGGCAGAACTTGTTAAATCTTGAGTACAGTTCTATTGTGGACAGTGAACAAAGCAAAAAAAATAAATAAATTATATATATATATATATGAAGAATGGTAGCAACAGATCTCAGTCAGGTAGTATAGGTGTGTAGTATTTATGTAGGTACCACAGGGTAGAACACAATATGAATCAGGTGTTGCAAATAATGGATAATCAACTAGAGGGAATAAAATTCTGATATGTATTGTCCACTAACTAATCAGGGTTGACAGCAAAACCATAGGAAGTGTTCGGATTCTGAGAACACAATGTTACATTATTAGGTATACAAACTACTCCAAACCTGTACCACCTCATCTGAAAGCAGTTGCTCTGTTAAACCCCATTGCCTCAGTATATATATATATATATATATATACACACATATACATATATATACACACACACACACATATACATATATATATACATACATACATACACACACACACACACACTCACACACTATATAGACACACAAAATATTGATTCACATTCATATTATTCACATTCATAAAATGAAAAAGAACCAAGGGAAAGCAGGATTGATCAGTCTGATGGTAGAAAGGGCAAGCACTGGAAATCTAGTGTTAGCTGCCTCCTTTATAGGGGTGGGATATATAGGGCTTAATAAAGGACAAATAAAGTTGTTATGGTTCCAGGAGGTCTCCATCACTAGCTTGCATTTAGAAAACGGAGTTTAAAAATATGTACATTTTTCACTCTGATGTCTGATTGGGGAGCTAGTGATAGGCTGAGGGTGCCAGCAGAGGCTTTTTAGCAGTGTCCAGTCGGTGGCTTCCCGATTGAAGCCTAGGTCTTCTAAAAGGAAGTAGCTGGTTAAACCTTTTAAGACACGACAGCGCCTGGGACTGCCTGGCACCATAAGAACCTCATTGCAAGGCTATCCCTTTAAGTTTATTTCATGCTATTTTGCGGGACTTGTGAATTGAGGAGAAAAACTACCTTGTATATTATTGATTCAAGATGATAGTGAGATTGCATAAACCTTCTACTTATATAGAAGATAATTGTTAATACATGGAAGATAAAGGCAACTGTATTTCTAAATATAAAATACACAAAATAAAGAATGTTAACTCAAAATGTTTAAAAGTGTATGGAATCCAAATCAGTATACACTAGGAGGAATGTAAAATCCTAAGAGTTCCTATAATATATTGTATTGAGTAGAAAATTAAACTACCACCAGGGTGGTACAGATTTCAAATATGTCCTAGGAGTCGACAAGCTTTGGCACATATAGCAGCATGCGAGGCTGCCAGCCCAAAATAAACTAATTGGAGAGATCAGATGCCCTTCTGTGAGCACAAAGGAGCCTGTGGGTGCAGATACCACAGATAACGCTCCCACGCACTCGGATTCTTCCTGGAAAGTCAGGGTGTTGGCAGGGATTACCATGGAAGCAAGTAGGGATACTGAGAGGAGAATAAGGAGTAGAGGAATAGAAAAGAGTCACCAATTTATGGACTGTAAATTGTTGTGAAAGCTAGGATAGGGGATACAAACCGAAGCTGACAGATTACGCAATGTGATCACTATAACTGGCTCTCACAGCCAGGCTAAGCCTAGGTTTTGAAGTAGCGTAAGAAGAATAGTTATGGTTTATGTAAACATATTAGACCAGTGTGCAAGAGAGCTCAGAGAAAAGACAACTCGAGCACCTTACCCTTTGGCGGGTCCCACCACTCACTTGCTTCACAAGCTAGTTTTAGCTGCCATTAAAGAGAGAAGCTATATAGTATTTGCATATCAAACCAGCAAGCTCTGCCTGTACAGGATACAGCAACCATAGCTGACTTGGAGTTGGTGGACATAGTAAGATATAACTAGGCACATTAAAGGGATAATTATTATTGTTTTAATTCTACATAGAGATACTGTAGACGAGGAGTAATCAACATTCAGCCCTCCACATGTTGTGGACTGTATCTCCAATAAGGGTCTTACAGCCATAATGCTGGCTAAGCATTAGGAGAGATGCAGTCCACAACATCTGGAGTACCAAAGGTTGCCTACTTCTGCTCTAGGCACTAAAATATTTTGGTGTTATAAAGCAGTTTTAGTGCATAGGTTCAGTAAAGTAAGTATGTTCTAATTTTTGTTGAAAATCCTGGTTTGGTGTTCCCCCAGAGAGAAACACACTGTGAATAATTAGATAATAAGACATGATTAACACCTGTTTAAGTTTTGCCTAGATTGGTCAATCTGCCCTTTCGCTAGGTCAAAAATTATAGCGTGTCATTTTTCTTCAGTGATAAACTTATTTACAGACTATACTAATAATGTCACTACATTGGACAGAAACCACAGTAAGTCACAAGTCTGTTAAACACACATGACTCCACAAATAATAAGGCCTGTCACTGATTACCGATTATGTTGCCTTCACACTGTTTTCTGTCTTGGAATTCTGATTTTGGTTATTTAATTTGAGCAATCGAAAAAAATGAAATCAATATAGGTAAATCTGTTAAGATCTAAAAAAGCAGCAGTACTTTATCCAGTTGTATAATGCGCATGCTCCTTTGCCAATTCTATGCGCAAACACAAGCAGAGAATTCAAGGAGTATAAATTCAACAACAGCTGAACCAGGGGTATGATACTCCTGGTCTAGAGTGTCATTTACAATATACAGGCTGTGAAAGAAGCATGAAATTGAATTAGATTAACAGAGCAGCTCGCAGATCAAAGTTAATGAACAGCTAGGTCTTCAGAAGCTGCACAACTGCAGACGCCACAATACTGTTTTATGGTCAAAAGAGTTTGTGCGTGTATGTGTGGAGTAGAAAACTAATGAGATGTTGGAGTTCCACAACATAGGGAAATTGGTGTCATACTACTAATATACAGGCTTGGGTATACATATAGAACCACTTACAACTGTGCTCAGGACATCAGATTTGTGTAAACAAAAAAGTTTACACAAATATAAACATATGTTCATTTTACTGAACTTTCATAAAATGTAACCTGTCATCTTACAAAAAACTAAGCTTGCACTGATCTGTCCCAAGACACCATATTTGAATGGGTAAAGGATTTATAAAATACATTCAAACATTTAAAGGGACACTATAGTCACCTGAACAACTTTAGCTTAATGAAGCAGGGCTGCATAAACAGAAACAAAGTGATTTAACTCCTAAATGACAGTGAAATTGCAGGGGAATGATCTATACACTAAAACTGCTTTATTTAGCTAACGTAATTTAGGTGACTATAGTGTTCCTTTAATGTTATCTCACATATATATTATTCTTATTATAGCCAAATTTACCACCCTAACTTTCACCCTAGCTGAACGTTTTGATATAAGATTTGTGTAGTTGGGCTTGAAAATGAGGGAGTGGTGGCAGTTTAGAAATTATGCCCTGATTTTTCAGATTTTGCCAGCTCCCACTCTAGTTTTGAACATTTTGCAATTCATTCCTATGGGACCAATTTCGCCCAAGAATGACGATATTCCGTGAACCATTCGGCGAAACATTCCACAAAGTAATAGCAATCCAATCGGGAACAATCCGCACGTTTCGGTATATTACTGTCTATGTAGTGTAAAAACTGTGGGAGGAGTTAGGATGGTAAATTTGGCTATAATAAGAATAATATATATATGTGAGATAACATTAAGTGGTCTTGCTATGCAAGAACACTTAATAATAATATATATATGTGAGATAACATTAAGTGGTCTTGCTATGCAAGAACACTTAATAATAATATTAATATATATGTGAGATAACATGAAGTGGTCTTGCTATGCAAGAACACTTAATAATAATAGTAACCATAAAGGTGAAATGGCTATAATTCCCAGGTTAGAGAATAAGTGATAATAATAATAATAATAACCATAGAGGTGATATGGCTATGATTGCCAGGTTAGATAATATTAATAATAATAGTAACCATAGAGGTGATATGGCTAAGATTGCCAGGTTAGATAATATTAATAATAATAATAATAGTAACCATAGAGGTGATATGGCTATGATTGCCATGTTAGATATTATTATTATTAATAACCATAGAGGTGATATGGCTATGATTGCCAGGTTAGACAATATTAATAATAATAATAGTAACCATAGAGGTGATATGGCTATGATTGCCAGGTTAGATAATATTAATAATAATAATAATAATAGTAACCATAGAGGTGATATGGCTATGATTGCCAGGTTAGATAATATTATTAATAACCATAGAGGTGATATGGCTATGATTGCCCGGTTAGATAATAATAATAATAATAATAATAATAGTAACCATAGAGGTGCTATGGCTATGATTGCCAGGTTAGATAATAATAATAATCATAGAGGTGCTATGGCTATGATTGCCAGGTTAGATATTATTATTAATAATCATAGAGGTGCTATGGCTATGATTGCCAGGTTAGATATTATTATTAATAACCATAGAGGTGCTATGGCTATGATTGCCAGGTTAGATATTATTATTAATAACCATAGAGGTGCTATGGCTATGATTGCCAGGTTAGATATTATTATTAATAACCATAGAGGTGATATGGCTATGATTGCCAGGTTAGATAATATTAATAATAATAGTAACCAAAGAGGTGATATGGCTATGATTGCCAGGTTAGATAATAATAATAATAATAATAATAGTAATCATAGAGGTGCTATGGCTATGATTGCCAGGTTAGATATTATTATTAATAACCATAGAGGTGCTATGGCTATGATTGCCAGGTTAGATATTATTATTAATAACCATAGAGGTGCTATGGCTATGATTGCCAGATTAGATATTATTATTAATAACCATAGAGGTGCTATGGCTATGATTGCCAGGTTAGATATTATTATTAATAACCATAGAGGTGATATGGCTATGATTGCCAGGTTAGATAATATTAATAATAATAGTAACCAAAGAGGTGATATGGCTATGATTGCCAGGTTAGATAATAATAATAATAATAATAGTAACCATAGAGGTGATATGGCTATGATTGCCAGGTTAGATAATATTATTAATAACCATAGAGGTGATATGGCTATGATTGCCAGGTTAGATAATAATAATAATAACCATAGAGGTGATATGGCTATGATTGCCAGGTTAGATAATATTATTAATAACCATAGAGGTGATATGGCTATGATTGCCAGGTTAGATAATAATAATAATAGTAACCATAGAGGTGCTATGGCTATGATTGCCAGGTTAGATATTATTATTAATAACCATAGAGGTGCTATAGGCTATGATTGCCAGATTAGATATTATTATTAATAAGCATAGAGGTGCTATGGCTATGATTGCCAGGTTAGATATTATTATTAATAACCATAGAGGTGATATGGCTATGATTGCCAGGTTAGAAAAAATAAATAATAATAGTAACCAAAGAGGTGATATGGCTATGATTGCCAGGTTAGATAATATTATTAATAACCATAGAGGTGATAAGGCTATGATTGCCAGGTTAGATAATAATAATAATAACCATAGAGGTGATATGGCTATGATTGCCAGGTTAGATAATATTATTAATAACCATAGAGGTGATATGGCTATGATTGCCAGGTTAGATAATAATAATAATAATAATAGTAACCATAGAGGTGCTATGGCTATGATTGCCAGGTTAGATAATAATAATAACCATAGAGGTGCTATGGCTATGATTGCCAGGTTAGATATTATTATTAATAATCATAGAGGTGCTATGGCTATGATTGCCAGGTTAGATATTATTATTAATAACCATAGAGGTGCTATGGCTATGATTGCCAGGTTAGATATTATTATTAATAACAATAGAGGTGATATGGCTATGATTGCCAGGTTAGATAATATTAATAATAATAGTAACCAAAGAGGTGATATGGCTATGATTGCCAGGTTAGATAATAATAATAATAATAATAGTAACCATAGAGGTGATATGGCTATGATTGCCAGGTTAGATATTATTATTAATAACCATAGAGGTGATATGGCTATGATTGCCAGGTTAGATAATAATAATAATAGTAACCAAAGAGGTGATATGGCTATGATTGCCAGGTTAGATAATAATAATAATAGTAACCATAGAGGTGATATGGCTATGATTGCCAGGTTAGATATTATTATTAATAACCATAGAGGTGATATGGCTATGATTGCCAGGTTAGATAATATTAATAATAATAGTAACCAAAGAGGTGATATGGCTATGATTGCCAGGTTAGATAATATTAATAATAATAATAACCATAGAGGTGATATGGCTATGATTGCCAGGTTAGATAATATTATTAATAACCATAGAGGTGATATGGCTATGATTGCCAGGTTAGATAATAATAATAACCATAGAGGTGCTATGGCTATGATTGCCAGGTTAGATATTATTATTAATAAACATAGAGGTGCTATGGCTATGATTGCCAGATTAGATATTATTATTAATAACCATAGAGGTGCTATGGCTATGATTGCCAGGTTAGATAATATTATTAATAACCATAGAGGTGATATGGCTATGATTGCCAGGTTAGATAATATTAATAATAATAGTAACCAAAGAGGTGATATGGCTATGATTGCCAGGTTAGATAATAAAATTAATAATAATAATAATAGTAACCATAGAGGTGATATGGCTATGATTGCCAGGTTAGATAATATTATTAATAACCATAGAGGTGATATGGCTATGATTGCCAGGTTAGATAATAATAATAATAACCATAGAGGTGCTATGGCTATGATTGCCAGGTTAGATAATAATAATAACCATAGAGGTGCTATGGCTGCCAGGTTAGATATTATTATTATTATTAATAACCATAGAGGTGCTATGGCTATGATTGCCAGATTAGATATTATTATTAATAACCATAGAGGTGCTATGGCTATGATTGCCAGGTTAGATAATATTAATAATAATAGTAACCAAAGAGGTGATATGGCTATGATTGCCAGGTTAGATAATATTAATAATAATAGTAACCATAGAGGTGATATGGCTATGATTGCCAGGTTAGATATTATTAATAATAATAATAATAATAATAACAACTATAGAGGTGCTATAATTCCCAGGTTAGATATTATTAATAACTATAGAGGTGCTATGATTCCCAGGTTAGATAATATTATTAATAACCATAGAGGTGATATGGCTATGATTGCCAGGTTAGATATTATTATTAATAATCATAGAGGTGCTATGGCTATGATTGCCAGGTTAGATATTTTTAATAATAATAATAATAATAATAGTAACCATAGAGGTGATATGATTGCCAGCCATACAGGGCCAATGGTGACCAGCTGGGCTACACACTGCCTGTTACCCACCTTAGCATGGACCACGCTGCTCTTCATGTCTCCCGGCTCCGGTCTGAACCCGCTGCCTGCTCGGTATAATAATATCCACAAACGAGCCGTCCCCGGTCAATACTCCCAATACATCCGCCTGCTTACACTCACACCGTCATTTACCGCCCAGCACTCACAGTCCGCACGATCACTCACCACTTCCGGTTACCCAGCACTCCTCGCGGCGGTTACGTTCACGGCGGGCGGCTGAGGACAAACATAGTAGCAATGCGTTTTCCCTGTTCTCTTCTTCCATTGTACCTACTGGGATCTATGCTTGGTAAAAAGGAATTCAAAAAATAAATAAAATATATTTTTTTAATTAAAAAAAAATAAGTAAAATAAGAATGAGGAAAAAAATAAATAAATAGGAAAATAACTGTTTATCAGCTCTGTCTAGTTAAGATTTAAAACATACTGAATATATCAGACTTTTCTAAACAAATATGTGGGTTGTTTTTTTGTGTGTGAATGATATCAAGATTGTCTTATTTTAACTTTGAGATTTTAACTTGTTCAATAAAGGAATTGAACAAACAAGAAAATAATAGTAATACTAAAATTTGCACAATTATTCTTATTCATCACATAAATAAAATAAAATAAATAAAACATGACCAATGAATGACTACAAAGCTGTAGCTTCTTAATAGGCCATTTGTTTTTTTTGGAAGAGAGGGGAAATTAACAAATATTGCAACATGCCATTGGCTGTCTGGCAACAGCTCTCGCCACATTGTTGCGCTTCCCCTCTCCACCCCAGCGGCTGACGACTATAACACGTCCCCATTCCCCACTGCTGAACCTTTCACATACAAGGCAGAGCTCTGGTAATCTGGCACCATCCACCCTGATCAGTGTGTAATATTGTTGTGCAGCCTGCTATTGCAATTTGTGTTGACCGCTGTGTGGCCGTACAGATCACACATCCCAAATGCCAGCCCTAGGAAGACTGTTAATTCCTTGCTGTAATTTTTTTAGCAGACATTTTGAACCTCCATTCACCAGAAGCATTTGTACAATATAGATATAAAATCTATAAATTTAATTTTTTTTAAATATTATTATTATTATTATGTTATTATTTATATGCCTCCAACAAATTCTACAGCGCTTTACAGTGGGTGGACGAACAGACATGTAGTTTTAACCAGACAAGTTGGACACACAGGAACAGAGGGTTTGAGGGCCTTGCTCTATGAGCTTACATGCTAGAGGGAGTGGGGTAAAGTGACACAAAAGGTAAGGATAGTATTAGACTAATGACAGTTGCAAGAGAGGAATCAGTCAAGAGCTATTAACAGTTTAATTGATACGCTTTTATGAAGAAGTGGGTTTTTAATGATTTTTTTTAAGGAGTGGAGACTGGGTGAGCACCTCGAGAAGTCTTGAAGGCGAGCATCAGAGGTGGGAGTATGGACAGAAGATAGACGTAAGTCTTTAGCAGAGCATAAGGGCCTAGACGGGACATACTTGTGTATGAGGGATGATAGATAGGTGGGAACAGCATTATGAGATTTGAAAGCAAGAACCAGAATTTTTAATTAAGCCTTATATCTTACAGGAAACCAATGTAGGGACTGCTACAAGGGTGAGGAATGGGAGGTGCGGGCAGACAGGAAGATGAGCCTCGCCTTTGGCGATAGACTGAACATGAGGAGTGAAGGATAGGTCGGAGTCAAAGAGAACACCTAGGCAGAGAACCAACGTGGTTGAGCTGATGGTAGCACCGTTGACTTGGAGGGAGGGAGACACAGGAGTAGCAACACCTGATGGACGAAAGACCAGAATTTTAGTTTTGGTCAAGTTGAGTTTAAGGAAGTGGGCAGCCATCCAGTTAGAAATAGCAGAGAGGCAGCCAGAGACAATATTCAAGAGGGACGTAGAGAGATCAGAAGAGGACAGATAGATTTGCATGTTATCCGCATAGAAATTACATTGGAAGCCAAAGGAGCTAATGAGTTTACCAAGGGAGGCAGTATAGATGGAGAACAGTAGGGGACCAAGGACTGAACCTTGAGGGACACCAACAGAGAGGAGTTGGAGAGAAGAAGCAGAACCAGAGAAACAAACACTGAAAGAGCGCTGGGAGAGGTATGAGGAGCACCAGGAGAGAGCAATATCTTGAAGACCGATATTGCGGAGGATGAGAAGAAGCTGTTGATGATCAACAGTGTCAAAAGCTGCAGAAAGGTCAAGGAGAATTAGGATAGAGTAGTGACCATGAGATTTTGCAGCGAGTAGATCATTGGATAGTAAAAGAGTAAGGCCAACACTAGTTCACCTAGAGAGTGGAGCGTTTAGTATATTTGTTAAACACCTAACCTTAGATGGGTGTCCTGGTATTGTGCTTCCAAAACAGTATATGGTATATCTAATTCAGGTACGTGTGTACATGAAAAACATAAGAGAAACAAACAATAGTGTAGAACTGTATGGTAATAGTGACTAAAAGGAGGGAATGCTGGGAGGATTTTCCACTCACATGTATAAGAGCCAAATTTAGGATAGGCTCAAATCACACTTGCGTATGTGCTGTCTGGTGGCACTGTCCCTTTATGTGGATATGGAGTTTTCTTCCTCAGTAAAGGGAAACACAAGGTGACACAGTCAGGAGAATCTAGTGTAGTATTTTAAGAGGGATATCTATAATTAGTATATCTCTTTAAGAAAATTGCTCACCTTGTCCAGAGCCCTTGTACCTGGCTCTGGGTAAAACAGCCTAAGTGTCAGTAAATGGGACACCCCCCTTCTTGGAGCAGAAAATAGAGGATCAGGAACGGACAAACCAAAAAAATATCGTCTATATAGCGGCGATAGAGCACCAGGCTTGCACCCCAGTCACGCCTGGCGAAAACTTCCGTGTGCTCCCAAGATGACATAAAGAGATTGGCGTAGCTGTGGGCGAACCGGGTGCCCATCGTCGTACCGCATACTTGTAGAAGAAAATCTCCTCCAAACCAAAAATAATTATTCATCAGAATCCACTGGGTTCCCTCAATGATGAAATCCACTTGGTCTCTGTGGAATTCTTTAGATTTTTCCTGAAAAAAACCTTGTTGCTGCGCAGCCACGCTCATGAGAAATTACAGTATAGAGAGAACTGACATCAGCGGTGATTAGGAAGTCTCCCTCTTCCCATGCATGATTTCTTAAGACATTGAGAATACTTAAAGTGTCCTTAAGGTGGCTAGGACATTTAGAAACTACAGATAGCAAACATCTGTCTATGTATTGGGATAGATGACTGGATAGAGATTCTATCCCCGACACGATGGGTCTTCCTGGGGGGTTGTATCTGTCCTTATGGATTTTAGGGAGTTGATAGAACACCGGAGTTCTTGGGTACATCACGTTAAGGAATTTGTATTCCTTATCGTTGAGGATCCCTATTTGCTTTCCTTTTTCTATAAGGTGGTTGTATGAGATCTTCATCTCCTGTTTAGGGTCTCTTTTTAGTTTTTTGTAGGTGTTTCCATCCGCTTGTAGTCTACAGCATTCCCTAATATATTGATCCCTTTCCATTAGAACTATTCCCGCTCCCTTGTCTGCCGTTTGTTTTTTTTACCAGTGTTTTGTCTTTTTTAAGGTTATTTAAAGTCTCTCTGTCTTCTCTATTCAGATTATATTGGCGCACACTCGGTTTCTTAATATTATTTACATCTCTCATCACCATTTTTTCAAATGTGATAATCTCGTCTGAGATGAGGGACTGGGGGTAAAACGTGGATCCTTAAGGTCTGAATTAATAAAAGGGTCTTGATTAGGTAGTGTGGTATTGATCGGATTTGTAAAAGATCATTGGATACTTTGGTCAGTGCCGTTTCCACAGAGTGCTTAACGTGGAAATCAGACTGATGCAGGTCTAGCAGAGAGTTGGACTCGAGGAAGTCTGTCAATCTCACATACACAACTCTTTCAAGGATCTTGGATGCAAAAGGCAGTAGCGAGATAGGACAGTAGTTGGATGGGGAGTTAGGGTCAAGGTTGGGCTTCTTTAGAATTGGGGTTACAATTACATGTTTGAAGGGCAATGGAAATATGCCAGAGCAGAGAGAGAGAGATTGAGAAGGTTTCTGGGGTTACTGATTTTCTTAATGTATGTAGAGAAGGTGAAGGGCCATGGATTGGGAGAGACATCACCAGCTGCTAGAAGCAGGAGGAGAGAAAGTGACAGGAGGTGTGAATGGGTTTTGTATGCATGGGGTCAAGGATGAGATCGATTGTGTGTAGGAGTGAGAGAGTAGAAAAATGAGTGCAAGGCATGAGATGAGAGAAGGGGGTTTGTAGCAGAGAAGGGCATATGTAAATGTGGATGCGGGGATGAGTGAAGTGGGTGTAAGGAGAGATTTTTATACTGAGGGAGAAGGAGGAAATAAAGAGGAGGAGAAGACAGATCATTGCTAAACTGTGAAAAAGTAAATTGGAAATAATTGGAATATCAAGAGCAGGTGAAGGTAGGGTAAATATTAGGTTTTATGGGTTAAGAAAGTGCAAGAGTGTACTAATAAGAGGCAGTGTGTACAGGGCCGGCCTTAGGGGTGTGTGAGCTGTGCGGCTGCACCCTCGCGCCATGGAGCATGGGGCACCATGCGGCCGACACAGCTTGCACAAGGCAGGGTGACAGGAGTGCAGGGGGGAGCTTGAGCAGTTACCCGGGTGAAGGATTTCAATATCCTCCACCCCGGTCTATAAAAAAAAAAATAGGGAGACGGCGGGGCAGAGCTTACCTAGCTGTGTGGGCGGTACTTATCGCAAGGCGCAGGCGGTCATACCAGAAGCCCCTGGTAACTGCTGCATAGGAAGGGGGAAGCAGGAAGGAGCCCCTGCTTCCCCAACAACCAACTGCATCCACTCCCCCTTCCAGCCATAATGGAAAGAGGTAAGTGTGTGTGTGATTGTCTGTGTGTGTGTGACTGCCTGTCTGTATGTGTGACTGTTTGCCTGTGTGTGTGACTGTCTTCCTGTGTGTGACTGTAACTGTGTGTGACTGTAATGGTGTGTTTCGCTGTAGCTGTGCCTTCATGTGTGCCTGTGCCTGTATGTGTGACTGCTACTGTGTGTGTGACTGCCTTTACTGGAGTGTGTGCAGGAGTGTCTGCCTGCCTGTAACCGAGTGTATGTGACTGCTTGTAACGGAGTATGTGTGACTGTCTGCTTGTGACTGCGTGTGTGACTGTGTGCCTATAACTGTTCGTG